GTGTGTGTGTGTGTGTGTGTGTGTGTGTGTGTGTGTGTGTGTGTGTTGCAACCTGAGAGCTTCAGAGGGATGCTGGGTATGATGCAGAGCAGAAGCAGTGATGCACAGTCAAGCTGACAGCAAGAAAAAGGGGGAAAAAGAGAACAGCTAATGTTCAGCCTGTGTGTGGTGTATTTTTAGGGTGGGGTGTGGGGGTGGTGGTGGAAGAGATAAATAGCACCAACTTTAAGTGAGGAGAGAGGAAAAGAAGGGAAGGAGGGTGAGGTCATTTGAGGATATCTCCTCCTAAACTGAGAGAGGCACAGCCATCATCCACAGTTACATCACAGCTAAGCTCAAACTCAGGATGAACCTCTCCACCCCCACCTTTTTTGTCTATGCCAAGATTTAAATGCTTTAGAAGCTGCTGGTCAACAATGAGGCAGAACAGAGTGTGTGCAGTTGAATGCGTCATATTTTTAAGGTATGAATGTTGATCTGATTTATACGTTTTGTTGTTTCTCTGTTGCTGCAAGCATTGGTGGTGACAGTAGCAACCCAAATCTCTCTCATTGTGTGTGTTGTTTTGTTTAGACTATCACATGTTCATGGTCATTTAGACTTCTTATCGCAGAAAAAGTTCTCTCATATGAAATTAGTTAGCAGTGCAGTCATGACAATTATCTTGTGAAGCAGTGTGCCATACTATTAAAGTGGTGGAAACAAAGCATGGCCATATCTATAGACACGAGAGAAGTTGAATTTTCAGTGAAATTGTTGTGTAAATGTTGATTGCTGAATGATCATGCTAAAAACAAAGAAACTGAGTTGTTTGAACTGAAAGAAGCAAAGAGCCACCTAAAAGCACAAAGTAGCAAAATGCAATAAAAGGAGCACAAGATGACACAAAGCTTGTAGATTGAAGCATAATGAGAGCAATGGTTTAAAGAGTTGTTAAAATCCCAATGTATTTCTAATTTTAAATATTTGTACTTAAGTTTATTTCAAAAAGCTACAAAAGCTGAAAGTTCAAACATGCTGAGAAAAAGTGTGGCTCACCTGTAAAGAAGTAGAGAAACAGCTGCTCCTTCACTTTTGTTGCGCATACTGTGAGTGCGGTAGGCTCTCACTAGTTGAACACCCAGAAAGCAGTTTCAAACATGACACCTTTCTTCATGTAATGAGTCTTGACATCGGCAATTGTGTTTTTTTACTTAAATGAACTTAAAAAATACAAAATGAACAAACTCAAGACAAATAGAAAGTGAGGGTCAAAACACTGTGTTACTCTCAGGTACAAACTTCTGCTCTGCTGATGAGTTTTATGCTATTTATATTATTTATATTATCGATCTAGTAACCAATCAAAATGCACCACGAAATAAGCATATATAACATACAATTATTGTTGCTTATCTTACTATGTTAACACAATTGCAAACTTATTTATTGAAACAACTCAAATAACCAAAAACAACATTTTGCATTGTTACGGTTTGGCACAAGAATGAACCCAAATCCAGGTGGATGATGAAGTTTTTATATAAAAAGTATTTATTAAACAAAAAAAGCTGACAGGGCAGCAAAAACAAGAAAACTCAGGGGACAACAAGGGACCATAACAGGAGGTAAAAATCAAACAATGAACCAGCGAGGATATGGAGGACATGACCAGTGTTTAAAAATGGTAAATGGTAAATGGTACTGAACTTATAGAGCGCTTTTCAAGTCCCTCCGGACCCCAAAGCGCTTTACACTAACAGACATTCACCCATTCACACTCACATTCACACACTGATGATGGCAAGCTACACTGTAGCCACAGCTGCCCTGGGGCACACTGACAGAGGTGGGGCTGCCATGCATCGGCGCCACCGGACCCTCTGACCACCATCAGTAGGCAAGTTAGGTGAAGTGTCTTGCCCAAGGACACAACGACTGAGACGGCTGGACGGGGGATCGAACCAGCGACCTTCTGGTTCCAGGACGACTCCCCTAACCACTCCGCCACAGCCGCCCCCTAAACACACATTGAATGAGGAGATGAACAACAGCTGAGGGAAAATAATGATTATGAGTGACAGGTGAGCATAATTTCAAAAGAAGTGACATTGAAACAGACTGAGGAAGAATGAGTAGTAATAACACTGAGAGAACACACGAGGGAGACATAAAACATGACAACAAAAACACACGACCTCACAGTACCTCCCCTCAATGTATCGTCACCTGACGATACGATGCGGACATGGAAGGGAGGCAGGGGGACAAAAAACAACAACACAGGAGGGAGGGCAATGAGACAAAAGATAACGAATAAGGAAACAAAAAAACAGAAAACAAAAACCAACAGGGAACCCCTGGGAAAAATAACAAAAAAGTCACTAGATGGCACCAGGCAGATGGCAGAAAGTTCAGGTGGGCACCCAGGGACCCAACAAAAATGAGGACAGGGCTCAGGCGAGTGACTTGGCCACAGCAGAGGAGGAGCTCTGGAGGGTGACCTGGAGCTCGGCCACGAAGAGGATGGAGCTCTGGCGGGCGGCCATGGATCCGACCGCATCAGAGTTGAGCTCTGGCAGGTGGCTGTGGATCTGACTGCGTCGGAGGCGGAGCTCTGGTAGATGGCCTGAAGCCCGGCCACGACGAGGATGAAGCTAAGGAGGGTGGCCCGAAGCCCAGCCGCGGAGCTACTCTAGAGGGGCCGGCTCTGAGGACTCTGGAGGGGCTGGCTCTGAGGACTCTGGTGGGACCAGCTCAGGATGGATGGGAACCTCAGCTGCAGGCAACGAGGTCTAAGCTGCAGGCAGCGAGATCTCAGCTGTAGCTAAAGCCAGAGTGGACTCAGGAACAGAGACCAGTGTGGAGATCTTGGGAGCCTCAGGCAGACCCGGGGACTTCACAATCTGACTCGGGGGGTTCTGTAGGCTCAGGCTGACCTGGGGACTTCACGATCAGACTCGTGGGCTTTGTAGACTCTAGTGCTGGCTCTGGCTCAGAGGGTTCTGGTGCTGGCTCCAGCTCTAAGGACTCAGGTGCTGCAGCAGGCTTTGACGGCATCTCCACAAGAGCTGCCATGAAGAACACTGCCACAGCAGCCAGGGTGGTGACCACCATCTCCCTCCCCTCAAGACCCTCCTCACAGGAAGTGGATGCATAGACCCTCTGGTTAGCGCAGGGAGCTGTAGAGGCATCGGCAGTCTAGAGAGTGCAGAGTGCAAATGGAGGTAAAGAAGTTGAAGCTCGTCGGAGCGCAGGTGGCAGTGGAGGCATCGATCCTCGCCGGAGCGCAGGTGGCAGTGGAGACATCGATCCTTGCCAGAGCGAAGGTGTAAGTGGACGTGTCGACCCTCGCCAGAG